CATACACTGACAAGTTCTTTCTTTCATTTCCAATAACTAACCAGCACAATACCCCTTTATAGTCTATTCTTTAGACTTTATTGAGATTAGATGTGTAATACCATTTTAGCCAAATAAATCTAAACAAAAAAACAACAACAAAAAAAACGTTAGTTCAAGGAATTTAATTGTTTTTTTGGCAACTTCACTAACTGCATAAAAACTAACCGCCATAAGATGGCTTCTATCTGCAGAGAAGAGTGAAAAATGAATGTTGGTTGAACAAATGTTGGAGAGAAATTAAAACGATACTGCTGGTAGGATGTTGTCTTCATGCAGAATTTAATAATGAAGAGGCAGATTAATATAAATAACATTAAATAATGATAATAATGTAATATTTATGGTGTTTTAAATCCTTTTTAACTGACCATTTAGTAACCTATACCAGTTTTAGATTACACTTTTAGTGTTTACTTTTGGTGATATGATATCTGTAATATCAATAACGATGTAATTCACTGTCACTAGATGGCGAAGCCAAAGTTCCATTTAGAACAATTGGGCTCTCGATGTAATATTTACGTTTGTATACGAACTTTAGAAGCATCTTATAACAATTGACTGTAACATATTGTTAAACTACTGAAAAATTAAAAACAAACAAACCTAGTACGATTAATAACCGTCTTTTCTGAAATACTCAGAATAACTTGTATTCTCTAAATTTAAAGTGTAAAAATATTTCTTTTCATAACAGATAAACTATACAAATGTTACAGCTAATAAAAACGAAAATAGGGGCAATGGAAAACGCAGTATTTACAATTTTATATCATGTGCCAGAAATGTCGGTAAAGCTCAATACTGTGCTAAAGAGGTGTCTGTATGTATATATATTTTCTAGAATAATAATTATTATTAGGTTTTGTTGTTGTTGTTACGTAAAAAAAAAAAACCGCACAGCTAGCTATAAGTTCAGTGTTCACCGCAGGGATCAAACCCAAATTATTGCATTACAAGCCGAGTCATCGCTAACACTGTCCGAATAAGTTATGTTTTTATTTTCCAAGTAAAAAGAAATAAAACTAATAAGTTAATGCTATACAGCAAGTCTTAAAACTGTGATTTCACGTATTTTTTTCTTCTTATTGACATCAAGTAATACTTTTCACGAGAACCTGATAAAGGTATGCATTAGAGAGTATGATAAAAATCTGATGATTAATTTTGAACAAACTTCCTCAACCGAATTCTTCTTTTAAGTAATACTTTATGTATTATTTCTTGGTTCGGTTGTTGTTAAGCGCACAGCTAACAATGGACTATCTGTGTTCTGCCCACCACGGGTATCGAAACCCGAATTATAGAATCGTAAAGCTATTGGGGGCTATGCTGCTTCTACTAACTATGTTATTTATTATTTTCATTTTACATTATATATATATATATATATATATATTGTAATAAAAATTGGTTACTTGTTATTATTTATCTTAATTACAGACTCAAGAGAACGTATTTCGTATCATACCTGATACGTGCCGTTGAGAAAGTGAACTGGTATGCTATGTGGTAGGCAATGGTGGAAAGGGTTTTTCAGCAAGATACTAAGTACTTCCATTCGGGATGGCTGGCATTCTCGTCCACTGTTTAATAGCGCCCTCTCAAGTGCTCTTTGGCAGAACGCTGCATACCTTCCAGGTTCAGTACTAAATTCAAAAACGTTTATTATAAGGTTAACCAAACAATTTTATAAATAAACAATTTAACAACAAACGTCCATATCAAGTGGATGCCTAAAAATAAGATGTCAAAAATATAGATTTTATCTAACGTAAATATTATTTAAAGTTGATATTTTGACTGTGTGAACCTTGGTTTAAAAATCTTAAAATAAATGGACATATTTTAGTAAGAAAGAATATTAAATGTACTTAGTTTGTCAACGATAACAAAAGAGTTATAGCACCATCGTTTTTCGCGAGTCCTAATGAGATAAATAACCGTTTTTTTCTGAAATATTCAGGATCATTTATATTCTATACATTTAAAGTGAAAAAAATATTCATAATAGATGAAATATATGAATGTTACAGCTAATAAAAACAAAAACAGTGGCAATAGACAGTGTAGTTAAAAATTTATCAATAAGTGACCTTAAACAACAGTGGTTGGAAACTATTATTTTGTTAAATTTAACTTATTTAGTTATCAATATTCAAGAACAAAAAAATAGGATAATTAGAAGTTGAATCTGTGCTCTTCGAAAGCAAAGAATAAAGAAAAAAGTGCGAGTGTGACTCTCAAAAATCTCAACCTCAGGATCAGGGAAGATTGAAGTTATGATACACTTCACAGGTGATTGAGGAAAGAAGGAAAATAAGAACTGTATTTCCCTGGAAAAAAATAAATTCTGAGAGGAGAAAACTGTAACTATATTTAAAGTTTTCTAGCATCAAGAACTTAATGAGTGGTGTAAAGAGAAAATTATAACCAGTTTTTGGGTTATAAGGTATCAACCCTGGTAAGTTAACTACTGATGAGATGAGAAACTTATAATTAGTTATGTGGTTTCAGGTTTCGACAATCCTGAGAATTTTAATACGTGTTGGAAATAACAATTTATAGCCAGTTCTGTTGTTTTAAAGTATCCAAAATTCTAACCTAACTAAGATCTCAATAATGTTTATTTCTGGCAAACCGATAGGCTGAAAATGAAGAACAAGCAAGTTGATACTCACAAGGTTTCAGCGTTCCTCTCTAGGTGTGCACGAAGATACCAGAGGGTGCGGTTCTTGGGGACAAATAGGGGAATAGCCAAAGCTAAAAGCTGCCACGCCTGGACGAACACAAACGGAGCAGGGTTCAGTTTATTTTCGGCTGAGTGAGGCCGATCAGGTGAGGTGATGGATGTCGGTGAGGTCCTCTCGGTGGAGGAACTATCACACAGGAAGAGTGACTGAGTAGCACAAAGGAGGAGTTGCTGTGGGAACAGATGTCACAATTGAGTCGTGCCTTTAAGTGGTAATTGAGTACATTACTATTTTTATACTACACCAAGCCTTTCAGTTTCTAGTATACGCTGATGAAGTGAAAATTAACACCTGGTATTTAGTTCGTAAATGTATTCGTTTATTTGGGGTTGGAAAAGTTTGTCAGAGAATCTGAGAGCTAGTAAATTAATGTAGTAATAAACTTTGTAAAAGTAAAACCATGTCAAGTGAAATCATTCTTTAATTGAGATGCCTTCTAGAACACGCTCAGCACACACACACAAAAAAACCTTACTTAAACCATTATAAACACACCTTTCTGCAAAGTTGTAATTTTCCTAAAGAAGTGAGAAAAGAAATCGGGCATGAATCGAATCTGCAACTGCGCTTACAGGAAATGCCCCAATTCTCAGTACTCACTTCAGCTATTAGTTACGGAATTTTACAATACATTTGTTCGGTAAGCAAAATAATGGGTTTTATTAAGCCCGTCTGGTCTCATATGTGCCACCCTTGACATTTCTCTATTTAATTCGCTAACTAAAGGTGGAAGTGAATAAATTCTGATCTTTAAAAATCAATTGGCTTATTTCCATGAGTCTTTGATTTCAGACATCAATAACCAGTGAAGTGTACTCAATAGATAGAATCGCGAGTTGGAATTTAAGACACATGAAATATTTATGAGAATCTGTGCGATGAAATTTTAACATGGTTTCGACGAATCAGTAGAGGCAACTTGAGTTTTAAGAAAACATAAAATTAAAATCTATATCAGAAGCCTTGCATGACATGTACAGAAAACACGTTACACTCAAATGTAAATTATCCGAGAATTTTGAAGAACAAAATAAGCCATATACTGTCATCTTCATTTATACATCTACTGCTTTTACACTCCCTGGAGGCAAATTAACGAGTTTTAAAAAGAATGTTATCATCGTTTCTGCAAAAAAAAAAAAAAGAAATACTGTAGACATTTTCAAATAAGTTTATTTTCAAGTAGAAATATAAAAAGTTCACTATGTTATGTGAGTACCGATTTAGTGAGCATTATTCCAGAGGAGCCTTTGTCTACGACAGACTTATATTTATAAAATTCTTAAAATTTCCCATGTACTTATCTAGAAAGAAAGCAGTCAGTCCTCTAACACCACATAGGGGCGCGTTAAGAGACTATATCCGTTCTGTATATTGCTTTTAGCGTTATATCAATCCATGCAAGACTCTTGATAAACCTTTATAATGGAAGGTGACTCAGTAGTAGAAACTGAAACATTATTATACAATTTAAAGTGGATTGTAACTCTTAGTTACCTGGAAGAAAACATATGCTGTAATTGGTCATTAACTCAAATGACTTACTTAACTGTTTGTTTGTTTTTGAATTTCGCGCAAAGCTACACGAGGGCTATCTGCGCTAGCCGTCCCTAATTTAGCAGTGTAAGACTAGAGGGAAGGC